AAAAAAAAAAAAAAATAGAAATTAGGCCAAGTAATAACCCTACAATGGCTTCTAACTGTTCAAGTGAAAGGAAGACTCATATTTCTCTCACTTTAAATCAAAAGCTAGAAATGATTAAGCTTTGTGGGGAAGGCATGTCAAAAAGCAAGACAGGTCAAAAGCTAGGTAGGCCTCTCGGCCAAACAATTAGCCAAGTTGTGAATGCAAAGGAAAAAAATTCTTTGTTTTCTTTTTTTGAGACAGGGTCTCTCTCTGTTGCCCAGGCTGGAGTGCAGTGGCACAATCATTGCTCAGTGCAGTCTCCAACTCCTGGACTCAAGCAATTTTCCTGCATCAGCCTCCCGAGTAGCTATGACTTCAGGTGTGCACCACCATGCCTGGTTAATTTTTCTATTTTTTTGTAGAAGTAGGGTCTCACTATTGCCTAGGCTGGTCTCAAACTCCTGGGTTTAAGCGATCCTCCCACCTTGATCTCCCAAACTTCTGGGATTACAGACGTGAGCAACCATCCCTGGCCAAGGAAAAGGTCTTCAAGGAATTAAAAGTACTACTCCAATGAAGATACAAATGATAAGAAAGCAAAACAGCCTTATTGCTGATATGGAGAAATATTTAGTGGTCTGGGCTGGTCCAAGTGCAGCAGTGTTTACAACTAATTGATCACAACAAGTTACAGATTCCTTTGTTCCTTCTCCACTCCCACTGTTTCACTTGACCAGCCTAAACAAACAAAAAACACAAGATTTAGTGGTCTGTATAGAAGATTAAACCAATAACAACATTCCTTTAAGACAAACCCTAATTCAGACCAAGACCCTAACTCTCTTCAATTCTAGGAAGGCTGAGAGAGGTGAGGAAGCTGCAGAAGAAAAGTATGAAGCTAGCAGAAGTTGGTTCATGAGGTTTAAGAAAAGAAGCTGGAGTAGCACCAAGAGGGGGGCCCGGGGCCCACCCTTGTCCTTCTTAAAAAAAAAAAAAAAAAGAAAGAAAAGAAGCCATCTCCATAACATAAAAGTGCAAAGTAAAGCAGCAAGTGCTAATATAGAAGCTACAACAAGTTATCTAGAAGGTCTAGCTAAGATAATTGATGAAAGTGGCTGCATTAAACAACAGATTTTCAAGGTAGACGAAACAGCCTTCTATTGGCAGAAGATGCCATTTAGGATTTTCATAGTTAGAGAGAAGTCAGTGCTTGGCTTCAAAGCTTCAAAGGACAGGGGCAAATGCAATTGGTGATTTTTTTTTTTCCTCCCAAACACCAAGTTTGGAGCTGGTGACTTTAAGTTGAGGCCAATGCCCGTGTACCATTCCCCAAATCCTAAGGCCCTTAAGAA